ATATATATATATATACAGATGAATGTATGAATTCATGAATGTAGGAATATATAAATATATGAATGTATCTATGTATGTGTGTAGGTGTGTGTCTATGTATGTACGTACGTATGTATGTATGTATGTATGTATGTATGTATGTATGTATATTAGTGTAATAAGCAATATCTGGTATAGCATATCACGGTTTTGGAGTGCCTGATCGATTGCAACTAACGAACAGCATAACACAGCATGACACACAACATAGCATACCATATCACAGCATGATACACCATGATGCGGCAAAAGGCAATGTTGCAATGACAGAAAGTATGAGGTAAACTATGCCACACATGTAACAAAATATACAAATGGTAAAATAGGATGTGATGTAGCATACCAAGACATGACACGATGAAGTACAAGAAAATCTGTGTAAAGTCGATAACAGAATCCAGGCAAGATGGCAACATGATATGATGTAACAGAGTAAGTGGTTTAATGCTTATGCTTTACTGCTACATATGTATGTATATAACAGAGATGTATGTACACAAACGGATGTCTGTGTATATAAAAATATAATACATGTATCTGTACATGCATGCATGTGGCAATGTATGCAGACTTGACAACAAGATGTGTAAAATGTCGTGTGTGTATATATATATATGTATATGTCTACACACACATGTGTATATATATATATATGCATACATATATCACATAGCCCAAAATAAGACGCAGTTAACATATAGTGTTAAATAAACATGAAATGTTGTTGAAAACCCCAGAAATTCATGCTGCAAAATACCTGCTAGAATTTAAAAAGCAAAGATGTAGGGCATCGAAGACAGAAAACAACACACAGAAAAGATATGGAGATAGAACATGAAATAAAAAGTATATAGTGTATGTAGTTTACCATGCATGGTGTATGTCATAGCTTGCATGGGGTATCATGTACTATATCATGTATAACTTTGTCTATACATATACGCATGCATACCTATATATAGGTGCATCGACTAATGCATAAGAGATACGGTAAAAGTATAAGATACAACATAACATATGACATATCAAAAATGATGAATGCGTGTACCTATGTACATAACCGTGCGCTTATCTCTAGATATATCTTTCTAGCTACCTGCCCACCTATCTACCTATCTACCGACGAAAGACATGCGCATACATATACCTGCGACTGTTAATACACATACTCTGTCTACGAAGACATGTTCCCCCAACCCGAAACCCTGAACCCTAAACCCTAAACCCTAAACCCTACACCTTTAACCCAAAACCAAAAACCCTAAATCTAAACCCTCAGCTCGCGCCTTCAGCACATCGGCAGGATGCGAAAAGCTGACCGCAAACCTCCGAAGAGCCGAGTCAGAGACCGAGGAAGTCGCTTCAGTTCGGTGCAGTGGGGTTTTGCTCGGGTTTAGGGTTTTAGGGTTTTAGGGTTTCAGGGTTTAGGGTTTAGGGTTTAGGGTTCAGGATTTCAGGGTTCAGGGTTTAGGGTTTAGGGTTTTGGGGTGGGTTTAGTGAGTTATAACCCGGTGATATTGTGATGGTACAGCACAGACAAGAACATGAGCATAGCATGGAGGGGCACAGTTTGGCAAGGTGTAGTCTTTAAGGTGACTCACTTACCCAAGTCCCTTCAAACTGGGCCGGCCCATTTCAGGAAGCCAGACTTGTGAAGTTCTGCTCAGCTTACCTTCTAGCACAGGGTTACCAGCCCTACTTTCACAGTAGACCCTCTCAAGCATCCCCGAAACGCAAAGAATCCAAAGCCCAAAACCACAAAGCCTTGGCCGCCAACAGCATGCATCAACAAACCGAAAGACCCGCAGCTCAAACTCACAGACCGAATCCCTGTGACCCAGAGCCCATATAAAATCCTAAATCCTGAACCCCAACCCAGGAAGTCCACTGCCCCCCAAAATGAAGGGCCTGAGTAAGTTAGATTATCGCTTCACATACCCAAAAGATCCATTCGGCCATCTATATATAGAAACCTAATGTAGCATCGTAAAATCCATTGCAACATCATGAATCCCTAAACCCATAAACTCTAGACCCTTATAGCGATCCTTATAGATACCCTCATCATGATCCCTTATAGACACCCTGAGTATGATCCCTTGTAGACACCCTCATTATGATAACCAGCACCCTTGCAGGGAAAAAAACCCTAAACCATAAACCCTCGGAACCCTTGGGCTGAGGGTTTAGGATTTAGGGTTTAAGGTTTGGGGTTTAAGGTTTAGGGTGTAGGGTTCAGGGTTTAGGGTTTGAGGTTTAGGGTTTAGGGTTTTAGGGTTTAGGGTTTAGGGCTTCGGGTTGAAGATTTTAGGGTTTAGCGCTTAGGGTTTAGGGAACTTCGGCCCAAGGCACATCTCCCCGAGGCCCCCGGCCGCGAAGCGATGCCAGGCCCGGTGCTGCTCGGGCGCAGTGCGGCGGGCCATCGGGAGATGTGGAAGTGTATGCTCTATCGGTATCGAAACATCTATCAATATCTATATATATATATATATATGTTTACATTTATATTTATCTATTTGATTATTTGTTTAGATGTAGATAGAAGGATATATACATAGATAGTCTATACATCTATCCATATGTATAATGTGATATGGGACTGGCGCTAGGGCTAGTGGTGCTGGAGGTGGTTGTACGGTCACAGCGGTGCTTATGGGCATAGCTGTGGTGGTGGTAGTAAGAGTAGTAGCGGGTTAGAGTTGCTGTGGGTCTGAATAACCCTTCTGGCAGGAATGATCTCTAAACCGTAAGCCCTTTAAGGATGTTCAGAGGCAGAATTTCGGGCTTCGGTATCGGGGTCGAGGGTGACTTTCGGGTTCCATGGCATGCTGGACTCTCCATATCCTCTAGTTGATGTGCAAAGTGCCTTCCTTGATCCGCAAGCTTCAACAAATGAGTTGCTACGAAAAGCCGCGTTACTCAGTAAAAGAGCAAAGCAGCCAAAATCACAGCTGGGCTTTCCCCGGAAGGAGACTACTTTCCAGGATTGCCTGTCCTGAATGCTCCCACCGAATTGGGCTGACAATCAGTGAGCTATGTGGAAGGGTCTCGGAAGAAGGTGCCATCTTGAAGGCCATCCGAAAGGAAAGCCATCCACTGGCGCATCCGACTCCATGCCCTGAACCCTAAACCCTAAACCCCCAGGAGCTCTTCAGAAGCCTATTTATCAGCACCCTGAGAAGCCCGAAAGGACCCTTGTAGAAACCCTCACAGGAAGCCCTGTAGACACCCTTCAAGAAACCTTCCGAAACCAGACAAGCTACACCCCAAACCCTAAACCGAAAAAAACCTTATAGAAAGCCTGCCAGAAACCCTTTAAAGGAACCCTATCGGAACCCCTCCAGAGAAGCTTTGAGACCGAAACCCCAAGCCGTGAAATCCCTAAAACCCTAAACCCCGAACCTCTACATCCCTAAACCCCTAAACCCCTAAACCCCTGAACCCCGAAATCCCTGATATATAGGCTTTGCTAATTAGAATAAGGTTTTGGTGTATATAGTATAGTTTATAATAAGGAACCCCCAAAAAACAGTGTTGGTAATTTTTTGGCCCCCTACATTAAACCTTTAAACCCTAAACCCTAAATCCCTAAACCCCAAACCCTAGACCTCTAAACCCCAAACCCCGAAACCCCAAACCCCAAACCCCTAAAACAAAACCCCAAACCCCAAACCCTAAACCCCTTAACCCCTAAATCCCTTAACCACTTTCAACCAGGGAAGTCTCCATAGTAAATAAACCCTAAACCCCAGACCCTAAACCGCGTTAAAAACAACAAAAAAAAGTGGAGCTCTCCTCTCCTAAAACCCCTAAAACCTCCCAAAAACCCCTAAAACCCCTAAAACCCCGAGAGCCCTAAGCCCCTTAAAGGAACCCTTATAGTAGCCCGTAAAGTACCCTTAAGGAACCCTTATAGGAACCTTGGGTAGTTACCGTTACAGGAGCCCGAAACCCTAAACCCTAAACCCTAAACCAAAACCCCAAGCCCTAAACCCTAAACCCTAAACCTCTAAACCCTAAATCCCTAAACCCCTTATAGATCCCTTTTACAAGAACCCCAAGCCGGAAATAGGGGACCCTAACATAGTACCCTAAATAATAGGATCCTTATCATAAGGAGCCCAAAATAAGGTACCCCTTATTGTCGGAAACTCCCAATATAGAACCCCTTGTAGATCCCTTTTCAAGGAACCCCAAAATCCCTAAACCCCTTATAGATCCCTTTCACAAGAGCCCCAAAGCCCTAAACCCTAAACCCTAAACCCGCAAACCCCTAAACCCTAAACCCTAAACCCCTTATAGATCCCTTTCACAAGAACCGCCAAAAAGGGGCCATAAACCCTAAATCCTAAACTCTCAACCCTAA